TCATGTAGGTCAAATAACTTGCAAGTTGCATCAACACATCATCCAGACTTCTTTAACAGCATGCATAACTGTTTCTTTTCAGTTCAGCGATTAAAATTTCTAGGAGCATAACAAACACCAAGTCACATAAGAAACAGTCATAACGAGGAGTAGGTGGCTGGGAGGACACATAGAGGAGAAATGCTCGTTGGACTCCATAATACTTGTAGCAATCCGAAAGTAGAACAATGTAGTCATATCTGAAAAATGTAGTAGAAGTTCATTGAGAAAGTTTTAAAAAGATTAAGGACCCATTTGTCCATAAGAATTTTTTCCTTTTTTCAAAAACTTATCTTCAAAATGTTGTTTGGTTATACATAGATGAGTTTCAAGAAATTTTGAAGATGAGTTTCAAGTTTGAAAAAATGTTTTCCTTCACAATCTGAGTTTTTAAATATATTTTTTCAACTCAACTTCAAAAACTACTTTTTTCGTCAAATCTCTCATTTTTTATGTCCAAACGCCTACTAAGATACTCATTCTTGGTGTGACCATTGCATGATGAATCTTTATATACATATAACACGCTGGACTAATATGTCTTTTCTTCTTCTTTTTTTTCATAAATGAAGCATCACACGCATACATTATATCCATATGATTTAAGCTAGCTTGATCCTTTAATAAAAATAACCTTCCTGATGTACAGTATAAATCATTGGCACCAAACATCTAGCACCTAGTTAACAGCACTTTTAAAATATTAAGTTTGCTCTCATGGAGAGACTCTTAAGAAAGAAACAAAAGGACTAACTTTTGTTATGCTACTTATTGCAAAACAGTCGAGGCCCTTTTGAGCATCTATGGAAATTTGAGTTACACAGTCGTATCTAGTTGTCAAACAATACACCACAATGCGGTGCCCAAATCACTGCTCTCAAAGGCCCTAACTTGATAGCTCCTTTAAGACACAAGTCCAGTTCTTGCAATATTATACAATAAAATTCAACTAGGCGAATTGGCAAAAAAGAGAACACAATTAAGGGACATCTGTAAAAGTACCTCAGACAATTCTTCTAACCGAATCAAAACTCTATCAGCTTGCGGCACAACCTATATTCAAACAAACAAAATAAGTAACCAAGCTACCATTTCTTAATTTTCCTTCTTCAAATACGAACAAATATTACATTGACTTAAATAAGCATAAAAGGAGTCACCTTTGTGGGTTCCCATTTCTTGGAAATGGCATTAATTCTCAAAGAATTTCTCTTCAGACCTGTACAAAACCGAAAAAGGGGTAAATGAGAAAGTAAAGAAAATAACAAGAAAACATAAAAATTACAGTTTCAGCTAAAGGGGAATTTCTATCGAGAAAGAGATATGTACCTATAGGTCTTTGGGTAGAGAAAGAGGTAAGATTTGTGGAGTGAGAGGTGAATGGCTTAGCCACCGCAATGAATGTAGAAGCCATGGATAAGGCGAGAGCAGCTGCTGTTTACAGTGCGTATATAGAGAATAAACTACAGTAGGTGTTTGGTGACCCAGTCCAATAAGGGCAATTAAAGGGGTTGTGAGGGGTATAATTGTAAAACTTTGTCAAAAAGATTATTGGCTTCGTCTTTGTTCTGGATTGTTCGAATTGTAATTCACAAATTTACATTTTCTATGCCTCAAAATTTTGTATAATAGATTTGTAAGGGTCTATTTGGAAAGATACCCGGTAACTAAAATTAATCGTAATTACACAATCTAGTAATTATACAATATAGTAATTATGATGACCTATTTGTTTTTCATAACGTAATTAAAGTATAATTATAAGTGTATTTTTTTATTGCACAATTATAATTACACAGTTCAATTAAATTATAAATAATGCAATTATCAAAACTTAAAAGTTAATATAATAAATATATTCTGTAACTAATTTTTTATAAGTATAAATGATATTAGATTTGAAATTTAAGATGCATATTTTTTCTTGAATGTACATTAATTAGTAATAATATATATATATATATATATATATATATATATATTAAATTAATAATATTTAGTTTAATTAATTATAAAAATTAAAAATATACGCTTTGTAAGAATATCTAGAATGCATGTTTGATAAAATAAATTAATATTTAACAATATAATGTCATCATTGTAAATAATAAATTTGCGTCGAGAAAATAAAATCGTGACCGAAAAATATTGCAACGATAGTAGAATTTGATCTCAAATAATTTGAGTGTACAATCTCTATAAATCCTCGGATTCTTCTTTCCAGTAGTAAATAAATCCAATGGCCTTTGAGCTTGATCTTGAATATGTAGTTGTTGCCACGAACGATGATCTTGTTCTTGAGCCTGAGCTTGATTGCTTGAACTTGACCTTGATTTATTCTTCGTTCTTGAGCTCGAACTTGATATTGTTATTCGTTCTTGAGCTCGAACTTGATTTGTTTTTCGTTCTTTAGCTTGAACTTGATTGCTTGAAACTTGTGGAGGAATTTGCAGTGTTTGATCCACGAGCTCTTTCTTGCTTCTTGTTATAACTTCTAGTGTCTTTTCTGAGGCATGAAGACCCTTATTTATAGTTGTGGAAGGGATGAGTTATGATAAGAACAAACTCTTTCCGACCAATCAAATTGAAGTATGACAAGGCCGTATTTAATTGGCTGGAACATGTCACTTGCACATGTGGCACGGTTTCATTGGCCCTTTAATTTGACTTGGCATGCCTTGTCATTTCGACACATGGCACGATTCTATTGGCTTTTTTGTTTGACTTGGCATGCCACGTCATTTGACACGTGGTACCAAACTGGGCCTCTAGGAAGATAACTTATTGGGCCTAATGAATCGGGCTCATCACTTGTAGCCCATTTAACCAATGGATTTGAACGTATTTATTTAATCCATATATATTGAACCTATATAACTAATCCAATTATATTAGGCTAATAAATTTATTTGAACTAATATATCTTGAATTTAAAAATATAATCCAAATAATTTTATGGATTTAAATCCAATAAAATTTAGATGCCTACAATCACATTATTCAAATGTTTGACAAAACTAATCTATCAATTCTAACTAAAAAATAAACAACATGCAACGTGAAATAACAAGCCAATACTACTAAAACAAGTAAATTGGAATCATAAATATAACACAATTTAAACATGCATAGGACGTGCGTCGGGTGAGTCCCGGTTTATTTAATTTGGCTTTCAATGGAGAGTATTGTACGTCGGGGTGAGTCCCGGTTTATCGGGCCCCTTCGTTGCCCAGCCTGGAGAGGCCGTTGGCAAGACGGACGATGAACTTATTGCTCGGATTACTGGGCACCAAGCTTTTCGAGCCCATGCTTTTCCGGTGTTGGGGAAACTATCTGTTTCATGGACCAATTGCTCAGCCTCCAGTTTATGAGATTGTTTCTTAGTAATATCGGCCTGTTCTGAGCCGTTTCTGTTATTTGTAATACTGTACGGCGCAAAGGGCTTTGCTCGGTCATTGCTTGCGAGATGGTACGGTACATAACATTTTCTACTTGTGTGTTTGGTGGCGTTCATTCCTTGTTCGCGTACCTGTGAGAATGCTCGCGTTCCTGCTCTGAGCCAAAAAGAGTATGATAAGTTAAATCCAAACGAAATTGCCTGTTACCTCGGTCTGGTAAGTCGGTGAAGGGAGAATGGTGTTGTAGGGTCACTCGCTTCGCCCCGTGCTCGAGTGGCGATTTCAGATTTGGCAGCCGTATTTGGCTTCGTCATTAGTCGCGTCTAGGCTTTTCGTGGGTTGGACTTACTTTGCCTGTTGGGATCTCGAGGCCAAGTCCCGATCCGATCCCGTCCGATATGCGCAAACAATAAGGAAACACATGTCATACTTTGTTCATAAATCACATAGTGCGTGTGGGTACGAAAATAAGGCAGGATACGCCCATTATTTCAAAGAATCACACAGTAGGCTATCGTCCCTTCCTAAGAGGTGGGAGTACATGCCAGTGTATAAGGTAAATACGTCAAATAGGATTGCGGTCATGCTAAGCGCGTAGTGACCGTGATCCTACTTTAAACATGCATATGATGTGTCAAACCCATCGCTACAAATGAAGCATGGGTTTTGCATAGACATCAAATATAATTTCGATTTCATGCAGAGATCTGACCCAGATTGGTTTGGTTATCTCAAAAGCTTATCTATCACTTTTTCAAGTTAGTGTTTATACCGAGATGGTGAGGTTATGACAGCGTGGAAGTGATACTTGGCTAGTTTTAGATCTAAAGAAAACTAAAAATTTGGCTAAAAAATCCCCACAGACGGCGCCAAATTGTTTGACCAAAAAGTATCTAACTTTTTGCTAAACTAATTAATGATGAAAATAGAAGATAAATCTTAGGTAAGGATAATTAACTCTAGATCTAAGCACATTGAATAAGAGAATAAGATATAATCAAGCTTTTAAACTTTCTGGGACCATATAAGATATCAAATATAAAGGATAGGCTTACATTCTTAACATATTATTCTGTAATGTAAGAGCAAAGAAAGAAAGGAAGGAATGTCATTGATAACTATGAGATCTGTCTTTAGTGATTCAGCAATGACAATTACAAAGATTTGCAACCAAGATCTAAGCTTTCGCTTTATTGTTGTTAGAGATCTTTTCATATTCCTTTGTCTTTCCCTATTTTGGGAGAGATGCCCATTTTTCTTGTCTTCTCGCCTCCTATATATATTATAAATATTTTTCTTTGTCCAGCGGTCTTTAGCTAGAATACTCTCAATCTTAATTATATTTTACATCGCTCCCCTTAAGTATTACTGACATATATTTTGATGTACAAACTTTTTGATGGCTCGATACTCATCGTTACTACGCCTTGTGGGTACGGCCACAACTTAGTCGCCCCCTTACAATTTCTTTTAATGTTAATCCACGTGTGGTGAGATTTTGACCCATACAATAAACTGTATTAGTATATTTCTTAAACCTTAGTCCCATTCCTAAGCCAAAAAGGGAAGTAACGAACGGCTACTTGGGACCACCACTCTCTTCTTTTCTCCTCAATTCACTGCAAGAAATTCAATAATTTGTCTACTTTCCTGCTAATGATCACTCTGTTTTTCCACCAAAAAATGAACCCCATTGTCCCTTTTAACTCTCCATAGTACACACTCTACATTGTTAAAGGCAAATACCCTTTTTTTTTTTTTTATCCCAGAAAGTTTCCTTCTTTTTCCGTTTTATCTTAACTTTCTCCCTTTTTTATCAAGCTCACATTTTTGGGTTTTAGTCTGGGTTGTGAGTGGCTGTGATGATGGTGAAGAAGCTCTGCTGCTTTCAGTATTTTGTTGTTTGTAGTCTCCTCTTAGCTGTTGTGGTTTCCTCCGAGTACCATGGTAATCTACTCTCTACACTTAAATTGCCTCATTCCTTTTATTTTCTTGGCTACTTTCAGCATTTAGAAATTTTACTTTAGTGTCTTCAGTTTCCAATAATGTAGTCTAACAAGTTTATGCTCTACAAAACCCAGCTTTGGATGGGTGGGTTATCTTCATAGTCTAAAAAATAACTGACAAAACCTTGTTGTGAATAATGTTCTTTTGTTTAAACTGAAGGAATTTGATGAAAAATGTTATTGCTGAAAAGAAAAAAACATGTTGAGAGAGTAGGGATGTGGCTTTGCAATTAGGCTATAGATTCAAGGTTTTGCTTAGTTGATTTTAGTTAATGTTTTGACATTACTGAACAAATGACCAGTTAGGTTTTGCCTAGTTGATCTCAGTTCATGTTTTAGCTTTACTAGACAATTTCCAATTTTACAATGTTGCTTTCTTATAGATTACTCATATAACCCCTTATATTTGCTACATGTGTTCTTCCTAACTATTTTGTGTTTGTGAGATAGGAAGAAAAAGGTCTTTGGTGTTTGTGAGAATACATGTCTAGAGAAAGAAGAAGCACTTAGCTATTTTGTTTCCTAATGGTGCTGCATAATACTACCACCTGTAGACATCGAAATTTTAATGGATCAAGCATATATGAAATTTGGGCTAAATCATAAATTCAATACACTACTCTTGAAATTCTAGGAGTCTATTAGGGTTGTTTGGAGACTATCTATCAAAGCTACTCTACCCTAACCCTTATTTCCTTAAAAAAGTATCTCATGGGATACTCACAAAGAGATCAAGATGTGGCCGGATAATTCTTGATAATCAAATACTTAAGAAGATCCACAACATACTTTCATGGATATCAGATACATCCAAGAAGGTCCGCATCATCCTACGTTCGAGAAACACGCTGCTTCAGCCCTCGAACCACAGAGATAATCAAGAGAGAAGAATATAAGGAAGAAACAGAATTGTACTCACCAATTGATCGATAAAATTACTTTATTCTTTTGTGATTGCAATTTATTTTCGTATGTCGAAAATTCGTTGCAAACACTACCATTTACTATGCATGCTATAGTAATGTATTTGTTATAACAATCCCGGCCTATATTTGGGTTTGTGGATATAATTTATACCAATATCCACTGGCTCCCATTGAACCGATTTCGATCTTTAGCTGTACCCGGAGGTGGAGCCAGATTTCTTTTAGGAACATCAAAGACCAAAAGAACAATTTTTTAGCACGACATACAAATTGTGATTTCTTTTAACCTTCGAGAGGGGGTGGGCAAAAAGGTGGCATCCCTCAAAACAATACGGTGTCACTGTCCGGGCTGGTATCTTGCAATTAGTACACATTTACTTACTACAAAAAAAAAAATTGGATTACATTAGGGCTCTCCAAGAAACTCTTGCTTGGTAGGCACTACCACCCACTGATACAATTCCATCCCCTTCTCCCGTTGTGAGTCACAGGTTGCCTTGGGAAGCACAATGCTTATCGTGCTTCCTTTTGTGAATCTTCGTCGCTCATATGATTAAATCGAGGATGCAATCTGCCTTACTTTGATGCACTATGTTCTTAGTTCCATCCACAATCTTAATTATTGTATTCAGCATTCCATGTTCTGACTGAATACCTGGCTCAGAGCTTTTTATGGCTTGTCTAACATATTCTCAGTTCTTTAAGAAAAGTCAAGAACCTACTTAGCTTTCTAGTACCTACTGAGCAACTGAAACGGATTTGAATATGGAGAACTTGAATAGTAGAGAACCTGCTTAGCTTTCTAGTACCTATGTCTCAATAAACACTCAAGAGAGTGTATGTTTGTCTAGATTCTCCACATTTAATAACTTGAAATAACTGATGAAAACGTAAAGTGGTAGAAGAAGTAGTAGGTAGTTAATTAGTCCACTCTTACATTCATTCTGTAGAGCCCTTTGTTTACTTCCTGAGTCCTCCATCATTTGCAAGTTTTACATGCTCTTCTTGTACTCCTGTTTGTCTCCCATTATGTTCCTAGTTGGAGTTTTTGGTGATCCTAAATTATGAAGCTGAAGAAAGGATTATTTATCACAAAAGAAAGAGAGAAAAGAAGTTAAAGGAAGGATTTACAAGTTCAGTTTTAAACTGGTATTAGTCATGCAATACTAAGATTTCCAAATACGGAGCCGGAACTGTAATTCCTCTAAGGACTGGACAAGCTATGGTAGGGCCAGGATATCAATATTTGGAGAAGTCAATACTCTAAAGAAAGTATCATAAAGAGGAAAACGGATAAGTATCAACTTGGCCAGTGCCTGATGTTTAAGCTTGGAGGGACAGATACTGATGGCTGTAAGAACCTATTATCTGATATTAGTTACAAGCAGGGGCCATAACCATATTGTGTCTTTGGATAGATAAAAGAATACAACATGAAAATTTTAAAAGAAATGACATAAAAAGGGTCAAGTTTCAACTTGTAAATCTGACACCACTTGATGGACCTTGAGAGCTCGGGATGGTTAATTAAGTTAGCAGGAGGGATTTGAGCAAATTTTTCTAGCTGAACTATATTGTTTTTTGGACATCGCAATAGTAACGTTTTGCAACTGATGAATTTTAAAAAAAGGAAGTGAATTTAGTATCCTTTCCTTGAACCAGCACTTAATATTTTCTTTGTTTAATGCTACAGGGAATTCTGCAAATGACCTTGTTGATATCATCAACAAGAACAGAACTACACAAAAGCTTCCTCAACTTAGTAATAGTCCTGGACTTGGGTGCATAGCCTTACAATATGCAGAGGAATGTATGGGGAATTGCACTTCTAACAACAGTGTAAATTGTCAGCCTCCAGAAGACGACTTCACTGAAGTTTTTGCACCAAACTGTGGTGTCGAGCTACCCACCTTTGGAACCATATCTGGCTACATACTTGGCTGTCAACACAAATATCTTGAGCCATCAGAAGCCTTCTCAAATGCACTTGTTCATGACAAAAGGACTCTTTCTCTTTTGAGGAATAAAACTCATACTGAAGTTGGAGTTGGTATTATCAAAGCTCACAAGCACAATGGACCTTACTTATGGTGTGTTCTGTTTAGTAGTAGCCAGAGAAATACCACATTCGTACTTGATGATCTTGGTGAGGGGATTAAGCAGAAGAAAGGGTGTTATAGTGGAAACAGCTTCCCTTGCAGCAGAGCGCATAGAGATGAAGGACTTTTATCGAACAAAACTTGGATTTTGGTTTTGTTCTGTATTATCCACTTTCAACAATTCCTTTTCAAACTGTTTTGACAAAACAATGTCTGCACTCAGCTAAAATTTTGTCATGCATTCTGCTGAATCAACCATGGAAACCCATTCATGATACTGAATTTTGGAATTAGTGTTCTCTTTTTCTGCATGAAACATAGTGAACATACAGATTGTCAAGAGACAACATACCGATCAAAGCATTGCAATAAATTTGCTTGTTTTATCTCATCGACCTAAGCTCAGCTACCAAAGGAGAGAACATGAATGTCCATGTGTATGGGTATTTTTCTTCTACTGCTGATACATTCATTTCGGAAATAGCTTCTCTACCTTCACGAGGTGGAGGTAAGATCTGCGTACACGCTACCCTCCTCCGACCACACTTGTGGGATTAAACTGGGATTATTGTTGTTGCTGATACATTCATTAACTAGCATTGCCTTGCATAACACAACATTATATGCAGGAGATCCTAATGTAACTCATTGTATACATAGCCAAAGATCCATTTGAGCTCTGAGTTCTAAAGAGTTTCTCTTACCATATTGCCACAAGGACATAAATCCTAGCATATATACAAAATTTTATGCACTAGGAGTCTTACAGCTTTTCATGATTCTTTGCCATATTTTGGTTTTGTTGCAATGATATTTGTTCTGTTTATCATCAGTTAGCAGAATACTCTGGTGAGACTTGGACCTAATATCTCTTAGCCTGTGTAAAATTATGCAGATTCGCATGTAATGAAAAGAGTCTTCTGAAAACTGGAGAATGGCTACGGAATTTATTCAATTAAGCTGAATAATAAAATAGGGATTACTATTCCACGATCTATTTAAAATCAAAGGCGAATCCACGATTTTAAGTCTGTATTATCGTACCACAGAACCAAATTTTCTTTTGTGACACCTAAAGACTTAAAAAATATATATTTTCAAAACATTCAACTCTCTCTATATGGATATGTAGTGTGCTCTCTATGACCAAAAGTAATTGTAGAGATATGGAGCCACCTGATCACAATGAATGAAAGAGTTGGTGAAGTTCACATACATAGTTGGTCTTACCAAAACCAAAAGAAAGGCAGAGGGCACTCAAAGGAGACACCATTTATATTTGGCAAGTAATATATTTCATGGAAAATATCTATTTTTTCCCACCTAATATTGTTGTCACTGTGCCATAGACAAGACGCAGTTTGCTGGATGACTCATGTGCTTTATAGAGATTAAGTTGACTTAATAATCTAATCAGCCTTTTATAACTTAATTTACCTCTACTAACCTCAAATTCACACTTGTCCTTTAAAGAAACTTCTATAAACAACAACCATGATCCCACGTAAAAAGGGATCAATCTCACAAGCAATAAGAGTGTGGCCGTGGTTAATGAGATGGATGAAATCAGTGTTCAACTCTCGTAAGAGCTAAATACGCTAGGTCATTTCTTTCCGCTGTTGGTGAATAGAGTTATTTGGTATCTTTACTGGTGTGTCGGAACACTATCTAATGCGATAGACTAGGTAAGTATACATTGATTCTGCGCCATAATAATTATATATCATACAATAAAATCAATCTTGGGAGCCTCTACAAATTAGTTGTAAAAAAAGAGGAAAATATGAAAAGAAGAATAGATTTTTTGACAAAGAAAAAGTTGGTGGACGAATGTTTGCTTTAGATTTGGCTGCATACTTGAGTCCTTTATCCACATAAAAAAAATTGAAAGAGATGCCTTGACTGCGTGCATGACAAGTAAATATATAGTAGAAATACTAAAGACAAAATGGAGAAAAGTTGCTGCTTTTGATTCTGTTGGATCAACTAAGTATTTATGTTGTTTCTTTCTCTAAATCCTGAAACAAATGACATCAAATTTACCTGAAAAAAAGATTCTTCTACGACAACCTCAAGTAGTAATCCTGCTTAAAGCATATACTTGCCCCTATGGCCGTGCTTTATTGTTGGTTGGATCAACTGTTTTTCTTTTGTTCTTGTCTCTTTTCCTTTTTCTATTCTATACAAGGATGTGAACTCATGCAGGAAAAGTTAATACTCTTCAGTATAATCCTATTTACTTTAGGCATTCCAATTCAACTCTTTTGATAATGGACTTCAATTCTTTAATGTTCAAGAAACATCTATATAATTTATTAGGAAACACTTATATGCAGCTGTGAAAATAGGATAGAAATTAATCATTTACCAAGAATTCTTAAAATATTAATTTATTGAAGAAGACTTCCATAACAATATTAGATAGATTACAATGACTTGATTAAATGGCTTGAGATAACGGTAGATGACAAATATTTTCTTGAAGAGCAAGTTCAATTCTAGATTCGTGCAACATAGGGTAAAATAATAATAAAAAAGTTTAATTACTCCATGTTTTCTTTGTGCATATGCATACAAATAAAAACCAAGAATTTACAAAAATAAAGAAGTCAATATTATGTAAATAATAAGGGTTAACTGAGGTATTTGTCGTTATCTACGCCAGATAGGAAAAGATCTATGACAGCGCACGACAAAGAATCAATGTGTATGGGAAGGTTTGAAATTTTTAACAAGGACTTTGGGACAAAATAAATAGATAACCTAATAATGTAATACTATGGGATAATTCACGTCACATGTTTGCGCAACTTTGGTAGGTTGACCAAAGAATGTCAAAACTATAAACAACTTGCTGGCATAATTTCGATACGTTGTGCTTTTCAAATCGCGCAAAATCCTCCCATCATCACCACCGCCGCCAACACATCAAATTTGCAACAATAAATGCATGTTTTATTTTTATAATACATAGTATATACAATAATAACAATATATTCAGTGTTATTCTACAAGTAGAGTTTGGGGCACACAAATCTAAGTCTTAACTTGTGTGAAGTAGAAAGATTGTTTTCGATGGACTTCCGACTCAAGAAAAGAATATATATTTATTTCACGCCAGTTTGGTTTGGTGTTTCACATTCACAGAAAGGAGAGTGAAACAATCTTTGTTTTGTTCCATTTATTGTGGGTCTTTTTGTGGGGGGTGGGGCGGAGGAACGAGGGTATTGGGTCCATGAGCAAAGTAAATAGATGACCAAACTTTTACGGTTAAATGGGGCATAGTGTTATTACTCTCACAATTCATAACTTGGGAGTTGACACCTTTTTGCTCCCATCTAGAAATTGAGTCATCAAATTTGAAGGACTGGCATTTGGTCATGCACATATAACAGAACTAGTAGTTATTAGGGATCTCTTTCCTTTTCAGCATATTTAAGTAAGACTAAAGTTTTCAAGTTAATAAAGCTACTTAAATTGTTCAATATATGCGATGTCAACTCAATCTATAAATAGGAAATTTACCATTGCATAGAGAAAAAGTAAAAACTGCATTTATTTCGAAATAAAACCATCGTAGTTGATTACAGTGCCAAATTCATTTTAAATCGTAGGAAATTATCATGATCCCCACTAAATATGGCAAAAGATTCATAGAAACCATGTGTTATTTGCTTGGGGTTTTGGTTAACTAACTTGGCGATCCTTACATATGAAACGTTGACCTTATCTTGTTAATGATATTATTAGTAGGTAATTTAGAATTTTAAAAGATCGAATACCAATTGAACAAGTAAAGTTCCAACTAAGTTGAAAAATTAATGAGAAGGCTAGTTTTGGATATGATTTCTTTCTCCCCACCAGATCAAATTCATTTTAAAGTTTAAAACCCCAACCAACTCATCACTAGCTATTTCAATCCCCAAAATCACTCCAAAAATGGTGCTATTTTGACTTAGTAAATTTTTAGTCCTCGTAAACTGTAAAGAATAGAATCATTAGCATTCTTGGACATGCTTTACCTTGATTAAAAAGAAAATGGGAAGAAAAGTAAAAAATTGGTTAAATTGTTTCTACTATCTACACTCCAATTCTTGCTAAATCCACTCACAAAAATTATGGATATGAGAGTGGAAATAGCAAATTCTAGTGGTTTTTTGTTTTTTTATCAAGAGAGTATACTGAAAGACGAATTTGCCCCTGCAATGCAATCGAATATACAAATTCATACCCCTGAGAGCCACCGAAACAACTCGCTAATCTCCTCCCCAACCCGGCCAGCTTCCAAATCATCGATAGGCACGACGATGTCGTTCCGCCGGCTACTGCCGTTGAAAAACCTTCCGGAGCTCCGGAACGACATTGTGCGGGACGAAAGAGAAAGTGAACCAATTCTGTCAACATAATCTCGAAGCCAACTTCGTCCACCACCGGAAACATCTGAAGCTATACTTTCTCCAGGTGGCGCCGGCACTGGAACACCGATCGATTCCTTGTCGGTGCATTCAGAAACTCCACGTCGGTGTATGGACCCTACGGAAAGCTCGTAACCGTCATCGACAATGTACTCGAACGAGCCAATAGAATACGATCTCTGACCATCACCTGCGTCGGAATCAGAAGTACCACGACGGCGACTAACACTACCGATCTCAATTCGGAAACTACCGTTATGTCGCAGCTCATTTCCGCCGCGAGCCTCGGCGTTTTCCACCGCTAACACTTTACTAAGCACATCTGCGTCCGTAGGATACACGGTAGACCTGCAGAGCGGACAAGTCTGGTTTGTTACGAGCCAAGCGTCTATACAACTGCTGTGGAATGCGTGACAACATAGCGGAAGCAGACGCAGCTGATCATCCTTTTCGAATTTCGATAAACAGACAGCACAGTCGACACCGGTTAAATTTCCAGTAACAGAACCAAACGTAAAAAGCGGTAACGAATCAACCAATTTCTCCTCCTCCGAACTCCGTCGGTCATCAAAACAACGGTTTTCAGTAACCGCCGTAGCAGCAGCAGAATGCGAGACAACATCATCCGCCGCGGCGTATGTACGGAAGGAGCGGTGGAACCGCCGCGAGATCACGCGAAGGATGAGGTATATAGAAGCAGAAACGATAATAGCAGATGCAATAACAATGATAACTATAATGATCGAAGAAGAGGAAGACGATGATGAAGAAGGTGAAGGAGTATTATCACTCATAACGACAGAGTTATCAACAGGTTGCTGAGATTGAGTAATGGCGGTGTTAGGAGTAGCTCCGCCGTTTACGGTGGTGGTGANGGAGTATTATTATCGCTGAGAAGATTGTTATCAACAGGTTGAGTAATGGCGGTGTTAGGAGTAGCTCCGCCGTTGACGGTGGTAGTGAAAGGCATCGGGAATGGCGGAGGCTGAGGAAAAAAGGTGGACATTTTTCCAGATTTGAGGAGAAAAATGGGAAATGGAGATGGGGCGGGTAATAAATAGGGTCGTCAGAAAGAGAGTGGAGGGGGGTATTTATGAGGAAACCGATAAAAGAAGAGAAGGCTTTTGGTTTTAGTTCGGAAAGAGCTCTAAGATATTGTATGTACTAACAACTATTAATTGAATCATGCAGAAATTTATTTAGCATAAATATGTATTTTAAAATTTTGATTTATGTTTTCTTGTATTCTTAAAAAGATCTTTTCCAAAACAAAATTCTTACTTCCTTTTTATTCCATTTTAGTCCTTAGTCATTTAACTTTTTGTAGTTTTTTTTTTGTAGACAAATTTAAGGGCATTTAAATTATTTTTACAAAAAGCGTGTACCGTATTTTAAAACATTTTTTAACTAATATATTAACTGCCAGTTACCAATTTTAGAATTTGCACCAAAAACATAATTATTTATTTAAAAAATTAATTTAAACACTTAATGTTTATTAGCAGGGTCTTTATAAGATTTACTTAAATAGAACCAAATGCACATGAAAGATTTATATAATTGATTTTAACTAATTAAGTTTAAAGCGTGATAAATCAAGTGAATGGCACGAGGGAAAGTGACAAGAGAACAACGTTAGAAATAGGAGTTAATGGAAACATGGAATGGATATGGTGTGTGGTACGGAAATTCCAAATATTCTGAAGTTTTTTTTTTCTTTGGAAAAGAAAGAGGAACAGAGATAAGTAGGTAAGCGAAATGAATATGGGACAGACCGCAGACGCATTAAAGAGAGGTGGAGTAGGGCTGCGTCTTTACCTCATCTAGTTCAACCAATTTTCTTTTTCTTTTTCTTTTTCTTTTTCTTTGACAGTTGAACAGTTAATAGAAAAGGGCGCGATTATCTTTTTGAGATAAAAAATAGAATATCGAAGACAATACTTCTTATTTCCTTCCTAAATTAAACATATTATGCAATTCTAGGAGCTTAATGGTACTTGTCATTACATACCAAAAGTTCGTCATCCTTTAGATGACTGCTAAATTTTTGTCAATCATATTAGGTATTCGTAGAATTTAGTATAATATATTTGGACTATGGTGGAAATTCAACATTTAATATGAACAAAATTAGGAAAAATGTTTTTCTCCAAGGCAGGATGACTGCTGGATAAGTACTTCAAAGTCAATTATCCAAAACATTGGAGAATCATTAATAAGATCTTAATGAATGATCAAGGGAAAATGCATAAGTACCCCTAACTTATACCCGGATTCCCAACTATACATTTTTTCTTTACGGGAATTCTATTACCCCACTAAACTTATTTTAAATGAAATTATTTGCACCCTAAAACTAGACAACTAAACTCTTGGCAAGTGGTGAGTTACATGCGCCCTCACATATATTTTTAGTATTTTTTTGATTCTTTCTTCTTTTTCTTATCCTTTTTTCTTATTTCTTATTATTCTCATTTTTTTTTATTATTTCATTCTCTTTCTTTTTGTTTTGGTCACTGGCGGCATAAAATGGTGGTCGTCGGAATTTTACAAACACCATTTTTTCGGCGAATTTTTTTTTGACGATAGATTTTTATCCCGATCTAAGTGTGTTTTGTTTTATATATATATATATAAATTATTCTTGAAAGTGTAATTTATGAGTGAGAGGAAGAGCAAAAGAAATAAAAACGAATATAAGCTGAGAAAACTTTTTTCAGTTAAAATTTCAATACATCATTTTATTCGGCTTGGAAAGGTTTTTCGATGATGAATTTTTACCCCCAAATCTGAGTGTATTTTGCTTTGCTTATGAATAGATCTTTTTGATAGTTTAATTTGTGTGTGAAAAGAAAAAATAGAAGAAAAATAGTTAGACAAAGTCACCGGTGAATGAATTGCCGGAATTAGAGAAGAAATGAAAAAAAAAGTAAAAGAAAAAATACAAAGAAAAAGGAAAAGGAAAAAAAAGTAAGAAAAAATGGTAAAATAGAATAAACAATAATCTGAAAATCGTTTTTTCTTGCTTCTCACTCTCCTTTGGAAGAGTGAAATACGCACACTCTGCCACGTCAGCGTTAAGGGTGCAAATAATTCCACTTGAAATAAGTTTAGGGGGGTAATAGGATTCCCGCAAAGAAAAAGTGTGTAGTTGGGAATCCGGGTATAGGTCAAGGGGGTACTAATGCATTTTCCCTATGATGAAATTTTTTGTTGTTATTGTTTGCAACAAATTTTCATAAGAAGAAAAATAAACTGCAACAAAAATAATACGAAGAAAAAGAGATTTTATTGATAAATATTTGTGAGTACAATTCTATGTATCCCTTGATTCTCCTCTTTAAAATTATCCGTAATTCGAAGGCTTGAGAAGCGTCTTTCTCGATTGTAGGATGATGCAGACCTCCTTGTGATGTATTTAATCGCCAAGAACGTCGAGCAATACTTTGTTGTTACGGGTTGATCTCCGGAAAGAACTCTGTTGATCACTCCTTTGTTGAAGAACTAAGCACTTGATGATTGATCTATTTGTTTATAGATGCATTCACCAATTGCGGAATATTCTTCTCCAACTCTGAATGTCCCTTGAGAGTTATGTAACCCTTCTATTTATAGTTATAGAGGATGGACAGTCCAACTACATATGAACTCTCTTGCTTTATTCTGATTGGCTCATGTCATTTTAGCTACTTGGTAACATATGGTTGGTTCTTGCTTTTTGACTTGGATTGCCACATTGTTTAACACGTGGCATCATCTTGTTGGCTTTGGATTTGACTGGACATGCCATGTCACTTGACACATGGTACGAGTCTGGGCCTTAAGATGAAGAGAACCTTGAGTTCGAAAATAATAAAATGGACTAATTTAACTGTAAAGCCCAAATTAATTATTTAACCCAATTGAGTTTAATCCAAATTTTGTATGGATTAGACCCAATAAATTTTATATGTCTACAGATGCCCCCTACTTCAAGGTTTGTCCTAAAATGACTTATTTAGACTTGAAGACGAGGCTTGAAGTACCAGTAAGACAATTATTATTATTTTCCGACAAAAACCTCTTTTGAACTTAATTACAAACATCTCATTCGAAGGAAAGCAAGATATATCAAAATTGAAATTTCTTTCATGTAAAATTCTCCAAAATAATCGCTTGGATAAATCTGCTTAATTAAAGAAGGAGTTGCTTTTAATATTTTCCTTCTCCGGTTAAGAGATCAATCCAAGATCTTCTTAAGGACAAAAAAATCAAAGTAATTCCATCTTTTGACTTAGAATTACTATTTTTAATGCAATTCTTCTTGGAAAGAATGATTAAATCCAAACATTAAGCAAAGCCACATAACTCACCTACCTTAATTCGTATTTGGACATTAATTGCAATCCACACATGACGAGTTCTCAATTTATGTTTCATTAGCACACGAAATCTTCTTTCTTCATCTTCAGTCCAACTTGTTCACGGGATAATTAACTTCAATCTGATAACTCTCTTCTTTTCCGTTTAAAAGGAGAACTCTTCGTGTGATTCCTATAAAAAGAGGACCAAGTCAACTAGTTTTCCATCATAACTGAATATCAAGCTCCTCTGTCTAACTTGGTTGAAGCACCAAAACTGATACTAGAGCTTCTTCTATCTTCAATTGCTTTCATGAGCTGCTTGCACTCGACCTTTCTTTCATTCTTTTTTTTGTTCTTATCTCCTTAATTTTCTGTTGAATCATGACTCGCTCTCTCTCCCTTTTTTTCTTATGCAGCAAATCATTCAATTTAAACACGTAGAAAAGAGAACTAGAAGCAATCAAGTGCGCGCCATACAATAATTTGGGGATGAAGTCCTGCTTCCTATATTGCTTCTTTATTCAGAATTAATCCATATTGAAGGACTACACCAGCATGAGAAGCCAAATTTGCAAACTTCGATCAATGGAGATCGTTATTCAAGACCAAAATATTTTCCGCAAGTTAAAGCTTCGTGCTATAGGCACCGCCGATACATGCCATGCTCAACTAGACTGTTGTGCAGCTTCCGATGTCTTTTTTATGTCAAACTAAAGTGTCATGCTGCTGAATCGTCGTGCTATTGGCACCATATCCACAGAAACTTCACGTTGTTGGCATCGAGGATTTCCAAATATTTTTCTTTTGCAGGATTTTGCGAGAGTACCAGTGTTATTTGATATCCCTACGAAGATGAATTGCAAGCAAACCACTAGTCTCTTTGTTGCGGCTCGGCGAGAAAGACACATGAAGTGTCTTTTCAACCTCGGCGATGAAATCTCTACTCTTGGAGGCTCGGAGAGACCATATTTCATCAGTGGCGAGTGAGACATGTACCATATCGCATTGTTGCAGGCTGGCGAGCAAGACAACTGGACTAGGCTTTTCCAACTTTGGCGAGCAAGCACTTGGTGCGTCTCTGCTGTTTTGACTTCATAGCATTTTATGCTCGCATTGAAAAAATTGTATCTCAACCTAGGAGTGTCAAAACTATAATCCGCTTGATTCTACAGAATCAAAACTTGCACCACAGTGACATATCCAAAATTTGGGGCCAAATTCCATAAGGACAAGTCAGAATGAACTTTTGAATGCGATGCACAAGTCTATCATTCCGCCTTCACAGCACTACATACTATATTTGGAACGCACATATCTCAAGCTAGGAGCGTCCAAATTGTGAGCCGTCTGCGCCGTTGGAAAGAAGATTCAGATATAATGCAACTTTCAAGATATCATAGAAGAATTCCTAGCATATTGTCCGCAACAACTTTCTGAACTTGACCCATCTGTCCGCAAAATTGCTTTTCAGCTTTGCGCGCTATGGTGGAAAAAATTCATATATTGAGCTACAAGTGTCGGAACTACAATCCATTTGTACCATTAGAAATAAAACGCAGAGACCTGAAGTACATATAAATTTCATGGCAGAACTCTTTTCGGGCTATCAACAAAAAATTCGCGACATCAACTTAACTGCAGTGAACTTTCAGATCTGCGTACCTTCAGCAAAAATAATTGTATCTTGAGCTAGGAGTATCATAATTACAATCCGTTTGTGCCGTTGGAAAGAAAACTCTTAGATATGCAACACATAAAAATTT